AAAGTAAAATAATAATAATAATAGTAGCAATAATACATACATACATACATACATACATACATAATGAAAGTGGCGGAAAGTATGGAAATGTAGGTATGAGAAGAAAAATTGTGCGAAATACCTTTGCAAAATCAACTGTTCTGGAACTAGATTCTACATTCGTCGAAGAAAAGCGGAGGGCAGTGATTTTCAACTTCAGAAAGATAGCGTCGCATAGAGCAAATCGACCTTAAGCTAATAAATACGACTACTGACAAAGAAGTCCAAAGAGGCCATTTAAGGTTAAACGTATGCAAAAACAAGATGAAAACGAAATGTGAAGCGCTGAAAGGTTATTAGAATAGAGCTACAAACAATAAAACAGAAAACGAACGCACCCGTTAACACCATAATCAGCATAACATTGATGTGTCTTCCACCCATTTCTCAACCACTGCAACTTTTCTTGACAATTCGGATAAGATTGCATATCATCCGGGAATTGCATACAATCAAAGGGATCGTTATCTGGAATTGCTACTATTCTCTTGGCTTGTTTTTGGAGCACACTAGTAACATTAATACACTTTTCAAATAATAAGAATGGTCTCAAATACCATATAGCAACGCATTTGAAGAGATACTATCTGACAAAGGGAGAGGAAGGGGGAGTATCCGCTGTGTTCCCCAGGTGAACGCGCCCTCATTCTGAGGCAGGGGAGAGATTGCTACGTCATAGGACAGCAACCTCCGCGTTTCTACTTCTCTGGAGGGTCACGCTGGAACTGCAGGAAATTGGAGCAGAGTCCCATAAGAGAGAATTTCAACGGAAAATATTTAGAAAAACATAGATGTGCTCAGCTTGTTTATGTTTAGAGAGACCCAGTCTCTCTTATCCCGGCACACAGGCCTCAACTCCTATCACATACATTTTGCTCCAAAACTTGGACCTGTGCCAGTCCCGTTCAGAAAGGAGTAATCGGTAGTAAATCTCCAATTCTTTGAACCTAACGGAATCAGTTTAGGCTTGATTTCTGTCATTAAGGATCTACCATCATGAGGATAATATACACGAGACTTTGCTGGGAAAATCAGTTCCTGATTTTCGAAAGCTATCATTCTATCAATAACATCGGCGTTGCCATTGTGTAGGATACTACAAAACACAAAAAAGCAATTGAATCCTATGGCGCGAGTGCACTTTTGAAAGCAAAGCGATGTGGAGCTGTTCAAATAACTACCTTTACTGAGTAACCCGCATGGGGTTATCGGTAGTAGTGCTCACGAACATAGCATTAATTTTAGAAAGGTCACCTGTCGTTAACTTAGCACCACAAGTTCTTCTCACCGCCATTGCCACAGACATATTGCAATGTTTGGCATGGTCCTATTCGCGATTTTGACAATCACTTCGGTACCACCTTCGTTTGGCACCATAACCTGCTCCTGTTCCCCTCTACAAAGCTGACGACGCCAAGCTAGCACTAAATGGCGTCGGCACCAAAAGCTGAAGCCGAATTTTGATAGGGCACTGAATAACCCTTACAAGCAGGTTTTGGTGGAACAGGTTGCAGCACCTGACTAGCGCCACCGTCGGCAATGAGTGATATGATTGATATAAGGACAACATTAACATTCTGCTTAAGAGGTTTTGTGAAATTTGCCTCCTTGTGGTGTTGCAATATGGCAAAAGAGTCAACACTGGATTTTTATCAGGATAACAACAATTCCCTGGAAGAGATTCGCTAATGTATGTGGCCTTAAAAAAGGCTATTCCGTTTCCAGTCCTCAGCCACGAAATCTACACTTTGTAGTTTACGGAAATAACAACGATCATTGCACACCTCAAAGAACCAAACTGAAAGTCGGAAAACAGGAGTAGCTTTGAATTAAGATAGTTGGCACTATTCAACTATTACAACCCCAAAATCTCAAAATTTTATTTTTCGTCGAAACTTCGCCTATAGGGGTAATTCGATGCCCTGATTACGAAAATGACATTCATTTTTGGCGCTGGCGCCATTTGGCGCCAATTTGGCGCCATGTTTTCACCAAATTCGCTGTAAACTTGCATATAGGGGTTATTTGGGGTCCTGATCACGAATATAACATTCATTTTTCCGCTAGCGCCTGTGGCGCCTGTTTTCCGCTCGTCTGCGCCCTCTCACTGATCAGCTCGCGATCGGGACTAAGCCTTTGAGGAGGAGAGTGCTCCGAAGTGAATAACACTTATCCTGTGATCTTATACGCTTTAACGTTTGCCACATGTTGACTGGTTCACCCACCCCGGGCTCCCAGACAATACCTAACCATTTGGGCGCGGCCGCGGCGAACGCGGCCGAGTCGATTGTGCCCGCGAACCGTTGAAAACGCACTCGAGGTGCCCGCGAACTGTGCTGTGCTGAGTTCGCGGGCACCTATCAACTCGGCCGCGTTCGCCGCGGCCGCGCCCAAATGGTTAGGTATTGTCTGGGAGCCCCCACCCCGAAGTCCTCCCTCCTTCTAGGCTTAGTCCTAGGTATTATGTACAAGTGAGAGGCCCAGGAAAATGGAAAATGTGCGTTGAACGGTGGAAATGCTAAAAACGAATGTCATATTCGTAATCAGGACCCTAAATAACCCCTATGTACAAGTTTACAGCGAATTTGGTGAAAACAGCCCTGGCGCCAAATGGCGCCAACGCCAAAAATGAATGTCATTTTCGTAATCAGGGCATCGAATTACCCCTATAGGCGAAGTTTCGACGAAAAATAAAATTTTGAGATTTTGGGGTTGTAATAGTTGAATAGTGCCAGATAGTTTTCGACGGAGAAGTATCAACAGCAAAATGACCTTAATAAAGTCAATGAAATAACTTACTTCCATTTGGGAGTGTATTGTAATCGTTCTGGTAAAGGAGATCTTCTTGAGAGACCTGAAAATCTGAATATAAGCTTCTTTCATAAACTTCATTGAACGAACATGTTAACATAAGCTAGCAAAATGTTAAAAATGGAATTCACTTACTATTCCTGATCCTAGTTGACGATAAAGAAAGAATATAGGAAAAGTGGTGAGGAATACAAGAAGCACAAAAAGGACCCACACGTTCGTTTTCATTACCAAAAACTGCCACAGGGACAGAGTAGAAACTAACTAATAAAGCAGAAGAGGAGCACCATTTATACACGCACTTTTGCCGAGCAGAGCACGTAGCAGCAGCATAAACATTTGAAAGGCGGTCCGTAGTAATACGTTGTTCCATTTTCCGATTGCACCGATATCCTGGTACAGTACCTCGAAAATGCATCAAGAATTGTCGATGCCTCAACTAGCCG